TGAATACAGCTATGTCAGGTTTATGTTATTTGCTTATTATATTTTTTATCTTTATTTCCAACTTTTGTATCCTTATTCCATAAGGATATAACTATATAACTATAACCATATATCTATTTATCTATATATCTATATATCTATATCATCTATATCTATATCTATATCTATATCTATATCTATATCTATCTATCTATCTATCACTTTTAAGCAATATATAGGCGCATTACACCTCCATTTTCATAAAATCTGTGAAATATTATTCCTGATAAGTTGGTAGATTCAATCTTCCTTTTTAAAACAAGAAAAATTACAGTCATGGGTTTATTTTTTTCCATCATGCCTGTCAGAGAAGAGGAAAATGCCAGTGATTCTTTTCTGATATGACTTATAAATCTTATAACTATTCATATTGTTTAAAAACACTGAGCTATAATAATATTACCAGGCCAAGTAAGATAACCAGTCAGAATTGCAAGTTTCTTTTGGTTATTGTCAGAGGGCCTGGCAATAATCCCTAAACTCTTTAAAGCCTTACAAGAAACTTTTCTTCAAATGATACTTCCAAGGACAAATTTCTATTAATAGAATAGTACAAATTGGAAACAGTTATGAATATTCACACAGGTCCCCTGTTGCAGAGGTAACAAGATTGATATTCTTGAGAATGTTCTCAGTTTAATAACTTATCAAATCAGGCTGTTTGAGTGTGTTTTATAATGCAGAAATCTCTATCTCTGTAACCAGGAGAGAGAGGATATATCTCTTTTAGGCTGCTTTTGTTAATTGTGAGGACTTGCATTTTTTTAAGGGAAGACTGTTAATTTTATTACTTACCATAAGTAATAAAGAAAAAAAAAGCAGGCCAAACACCTTGTTTTTTATTTGCAGAAATGAAATAAGAAAGAAGTTTACTTATTAACAGTAAAAGAAGGTGCGGTAGCATTTGTCTTCCACATTCTGATTTTGCAAATAAGAAAATGTTATTCCTCATTGAATGCCAAGAGTTCAAGAATGGTGGAATTGACCAAAAAAAAAAATGTTAAGAGACTCTGGAAAAGGTATTTCTTTCTTAATACAATCAAAAGTTTGCAAACTTACAGAGCAGGGCAAACTGAGACATTCCTGTCAGAGTTGCAATCATGGGTTTAATTCTTTCCATCATGCCTGTCAGAGAAGAGGAAAATGCTGATGATTCTTTTCTGATATAACTTACAAATCTTACAAGTATTCAACAGGCATAGTGCAAAACCTCATAATTCATGAGGGCCAGAACAGCTTTTAATCTAATTAAACTTGGCTTACTGCTGAGGCAAGACCCTGTTCTGGTCTTGTCTAACCAAGTTTAAAAGCAGGACTCTAACAGAGTAAATTGTGTTCGACTGTATACTGCCAACAACAAAACAATGCATTTTAAATATAAAGATGTAAAGAAGTTTTAAAAATATAGAAAAGAATATGTCATGCTAAGATTAATCTAAAGAGAACTGGAATGACAATATTAATATTAGACAAAGTGGATTTCCTAGAAAATAATACCAGCAAGGATAAAGGGTCATTTTCTAATGAATAGGGATTAATTCATAACAAACAAACAAACAAACAAACAAAAAACATCCAACCATAATGCTTCTAAATATTTAGGCTGCTAGTAATAGGATTTCCAAATACATGAAACAAAAACTGATAAAATGGCATGGAAAAATAGATAAATGTCTATTTGGACAATTATAGACAGGCATTTCAACATTTCTCTCTTAAAATTTTCCTTCTTAATAAATAGAATAAATAGAAAAAAGTCAATGGAAATATAGAAGATTTGAAAAGCTCTACCAACCAAATTGACCTAATTGAAATGTATAGAATATTCTACCCAACAACAATACTGTATGCATTTTTTTTGAGTGCACACGATTACTCAACTAGAAAAACTATATTCTAGATAATAAAGGAATGTTCAATAGACTTAAAAGGATTTAAGTCACTTTTTTTTTCCCACAGTGGAATTAGAAATCAATAAAGAAAGAGATCCAAAAGAATCCTCAAATATTTGAGAACTAATTAGCACACTTCTAAACAGCCCATATGTTAAAGAAGAAATCAAAAGGGAAACTAAAAATATAGAAGTGAATAAAAAGGAAAACACAATATATCTGGCATGGGATGCAGCTAAAAGAAAACAATATTGTAAAAAGGGAAATTTATGAAACTAAATGACTATTTTAGAGAAGAATAAGTGTCTCATACTAATTACTTCAGCTTCTACCTTAGGAAGTTAAATTTTTTTTTTTTTAAAAAAGCTAAATAAATGAAGAACAATAAGCAGAAGAAAAAAAATACAACATTAATTAGAGGAAAAAATCAATGAAACAAAATATAAAAACAATAGAAAAATCATGTGAACAGTAACTGGTTCTTTGAGGAAATCACTATAATTGATAAAACAGGATAGATCAGAAAAAAATAAAAGCAAATTGCTAGTATCAAAGAGAGTTGAAATCACTACAGATTTTCAAAGGATAATATGGAAATATTCTAAACAACTTTATGCCAATAAACTTTACAACATGGATGAGAGGGACACATTCTTTGAAAGATATAAACTACTAAAGCTCATTCTACAGGAAATAGATAACTTGAATAGCCTTATATCAATAACAGAATTTGCATTTGTAGTTAAAAGCCTTTGCAATTATCAGTCATCATATTTATATAGTCAAAGGGCAAATTCAAAAGCTAAAAACTAAATTCAAATTCAAAGTGTAAAAACGAAAAGCAAAAATTGAAATATGTTTAGGGCTAGGTAAATAATGTAAGTGAATGATGTAAAATAATCATAGGAAAAAATAACTGTCAAAAATACTATCACACTTTATTTTCATGGAACTATACTGTGTGTGTGTGTGTGTGTGTGTGTGTGTGTGTTGATTAGAAGACAAGTCAATTAAACAAAATATAAAAACAATAGAAAATCATGTGATCAATAACCAGTTCTTTGAGGAAATCACTGTAAATAATAAAAATGGATAAATTGGGAAAATAAAAGCTTTGTTATCATATTCATATGTATAAACATATGATAGCAAAGCTTTTATGTTAATTTGAAAGTAAAATTTAAAGTAAATATTAATTATGTAATTTTATTGCTTGTGGTATTTTGGTTCTTCTCTGGAAGAGACACCTGATTTATTTTCTTCCACCCTTAGGTATTACTATGTGTTGGATTTCCTATGACATTGTGGACAGTTTGAAATATTTTACTTTAAATTATTTAACTTTATACAGATTCATAATGGAAAATAGTTCTTGACAAAAGTAGATACTTCCAAATATGGATAGAATTCTTATACAACATACTCATCCTTCCTCTCTTTTTACATGGCCGACTCCTTCTCCTTCCTCAGTTCTCTGAAGTGTTTTTCAGTACTAGTAGTTACATATTTTTGTTGTTGTTAACCTGATAGTCATCTTTTCTACTGGCCTGTAAGCTCCCTGGGAACAGGGTCTCTGTTCTGTTCCCTCATCACTGTATACCAGGATCTAACTTCATGCCTAATCTACAGTGGGAGCCCAATAAAGAACAGAAGACAGAATGAATAACATGCACTGAGCTCTGGTCGGTGGGCAGGACTGGCAGCTGCCCGTACAATCTTTTTGATCAGTAAAATGATAACAGAAAAAAAATTTTAAATAATTTTTTATAGTTAGAACCATTTATTAGAATTGAAATTGAACACATACTTTGACCAAACTGTGGCCCTTTCAGTAATATATTCTATAGAGACTCATGATATGTATACCTTTTAAAGCAGCAACTCTTTTCCTACTATGTAATAAGTCAGATAAGTACCTAAACACATGTGGAGATGCTTTCTCATCACATTGGTACTTGTAAAAGCAAAATAGAAGTTGGAAGTGAGCTAAATGTATTTCAAGATTATTTAAATAAATTCTGATGTAATAATCAATTACCTACTATATAAGAATTAAAATTATAAGACAGGTGTGGCAAAAGTAGGTTTATAGTTGTTTATATAAAAATACTATAATTAATGTATAACAATACAAGAAAAAATTCTGTGCTTTGCATACTCAAAACTGTAGTTAAAATCACAGCGAAAATAAATCCACAATGTATTGTTAAATAAAAAGGTTTAAATAAATTACATACAGTAATCACTCCTCTTTTTTATTTAAAAAAACAAAACACCACAATTGATATATGTACCTGAGCATGAGCAAGAAAAATATTTAGAAGAATATTTAGGAAGTTGCTCATAATGATTATTTCTGGCTAAGGTTATTTTTTAATTCTTTTTGCTACTTATTTATTATTACAGAAGCATGCATTAATTCTATAACAATTTTTAAAACTAACAAATATATTTCTATTTGGAACAAAACACTTTTTACGAAGAGTACCCTACCTCTCTTAGGAATGTATTTAAATGCCTCCCAAGCTTTTCAATCAGAATTTTCTTCCACCTTATGACCCAGCGATTTTACTTCTGGGAATATATACAGATGATATAGTATAGAATTGTACACCTGAAACCTATATAATTTTATTAATCAGTGTTACCCAATATATTCAATAAAATAAAAAGAAATTTCTTCCAATTATGAGGTGTTTCACCTTGGTTAGAAAAGAGAATTGTTTTTAAAAATAGACTTTTATTCTTTTCCCAATGTGTTCCAGAACATATTAATACTTTAAATATTTTTTTTGTTTTATTCACTTAGTATTGAGCATTGTTGGTGAAGTTGTGACTTTGCCATCAAGCTCAATTTGTAAACCTGATTTTATTTTACATTTGACTATTAGATATTTGTTAAGTGAATTAAAATAACTAATTCAAAAACTAATTTTCATGACATCCCATTCCGTGTGCAGGAACATGAGTTCTGGATAAAAAGGTAAACCGCCATCTCACCAACAAATGATCAGATCATCACCCAGCCACATTTCGCTGTGTCAATGATGGATCTTGTGGGGGTTTTTGTTGTTGTTTTTCACAGTCTTCTTCAATAAGAGCTGAATCATTATCCAGCTAAGTCACAGGTTCTTTATTAGCACGAATCAATCCAAACAGTCTAACGGGATCATCGTGAATGTTTTCCTCAATTGCCGGGCTCGCGGGTGGGAGGCTGTACACCAGGGTAGTCTCAGGAAGGCTGGTGTTCACTCCATGTAACAGCTCATCTTCATTCTTGTCTGATACAGAAATATTTTGTTTCCTGGGCTTTCTGGGCTTCCCCTCACAATTGTGACTCAGTGAGGCGTAAAACATCTGTGATTCATCAATTGCCTAAAAAGAGACATGTTAATTTTTTCATTGTTAGCCCATTCTTTCACTTTGATGACATCTGGGAATTTCTAAGTTCTCTGAAAAGCAAGAAACTGCCAGTTAGCTTATATGCTATATTCAAATTACCTTCCAAAGGCACAACTTTCACATTTTTACTGTCATGTCTCCAAATGTTAGCCTATCCTAAGGTTTGAATTTCATTTCCTGACATGCAAGGTTTTCCATGCTTGATGCTACTCCACCTTTTAAATATTGGTTCCTATTACTCCCCTGCATCAACTCTATTTCAGGCAAACTGGATAATTCTTCATTTTCCTTTGGGAAATCCCTCCCCCTCCCCTGGTCTGGATTACAGGGATGTACCCCAAGCTCAGCAGGGGACTAAGCATGTGACCTAGGCTGGAACCAATCCATCTCCCTGGCAATAGAAATTGGTCTGAGAATAGAAGGCATGTGGTTTCAGCAGAGCCAATTATGCAGCACGTTTGGGATTGATGTACAGATGCAGGAATAAAAAACGTGCTGTTTCCTGGAGTTGGGAGGAAGAAAACCTGGGTCTTCCAGAGGCTAGCCCAACCTCAAGGGAAGAGTCTGTGGTAATGGAAGAGCATGAAGTCAGTAACAGAAGGAAAGAGGGAGGGAGGGAGAGAGGAGAAGCGAAGAGAGCCCTCATATTCAGTCATCTCAGAAACAATTACTCCCTTACAGCTCCCTGTCATGTGAGCCAGAGATTTTCCTCTTATGCTAAAGTGGTTTGGATTGGGTTTCTGTACTTATAACTTACAGCATTCCCAACAATATAAGTCTGGTCAACAATTGGTCAACCTTATCAAGTGCTGCAGAGCTCAAAAACCATGATCCCAAGAAAGAACCATGAACTGTACATGGTACAATTACTTGTGACTTCCAGCATGTTATTTCAGTTGAGTGCATGGGTAGAAAATATCCAGCCAGAGGTAAAAGAATGCTTATCTCTGGAAAAAAATGGAAACAGTAGAGAAAAGAAGAATAAATTTAGGAGTTAAATAAGCTGAAGTCAAGTTTTGTTCTTAAATATTGGGGTGATTTGTGTATTTTGGTAAATAGTAATAATAGTAATAATTAGTGTTTTAAAAGCGGAAAATGGAGACAAATTATTTAAGGTGCAAGATATGGAAATAAATAGGAGAAATGGTCAAGATCATAAGTAGTAGTGTTGGCTTTGGAAAGAAGAGAGGGTGCTTCTGATATAGGAGGGAAAGGAGAGATTCATGGGAGATTTTGACATGAAGATAAGAGAGGAGCAAGCACACACTGTGTCTTTCATATTGTTTAGGATATGAGAATTCTTGTGGTCTCATTATATTATTAGGTTTCCTGATAAACTCTTCCCAGTTCATAGAAGATTGAAATGCTGAAATTACAAGTTCTGAATTGTATATATGATTTTCAAAGGGGAAGGAATTTAAAGAAATTACTTCTAGTTAGTGAAACTAAATTTATGAGAATGATATAATAGAATAAAGACAAATCTACTTAAAGTGTTGTTAATTATCCTATATAATAAAAGACTTATATACAAATTGTCCGTTTGACTGGGAGTTCAATCAGGGGGTGGGGTCAGCTGGCCAGCCACCCATGGCCCCTCCCTCCAGTCAGCCATGTCTGTCCCTGATCATCCCCCTCACCCTAACGGGGGCAGGGCCAGCTCCCCAACTGCCTGCAGCCCCTCCCCAGCTGGCCCTGCCCCTGAATGGTCCTCCCTCCCAGATCTGGGACGAGGCTGGCAAGCCAACCTCCAGCGTCCCCTCCCCCTGGCCAGGCAGGCCTGATCAGGGCCGATCTGGACCCTACCTATGCATGAATTCATGTACCAGGCCTCTGGTATAATTTATAAAAGAGCAAACTTTAAAAAAAAATATATTTTTTATTGATTTTGTACAGAGAGGAAGGGAGAGAGATAGAGAGAGTCATCGATCAGCTGCCTCTTGCACACCCCCCACCGGGGATATGCCTGCAACCAAGGTACATGCCCTTGACCGGAATCGAACCCGGGACCTTTCAGTCCCCAAGCCAATGCTCTATCTATTGAGCCAAAGCGGTTTTGGCTAAAAGAGAAAACTTTTAAGGACATTTTAAGGTTTTGCACAATTTCCACTTTAGGTAAAAGTACATGTAACTCAAATAAAACTGGCCTATTCAAGTCATATGTATTAAATAGCTACTTCTATTCCAGATTCTCAGATTTTTTACTAGTAGCTAAGGTGCTGTGAATTTCTACATTTCAGATGGTGTAGTTATATGATAATCTTTTTTTTTTTTCAGGTTTCTTTTTTGCTTATTATGAATTTAGCAGGTCATATTATTACATGCAGTTTTTCATTCCTTCTATGTGAAAATACATTTTACGATTAATTGAACATCTGATGACAGATTTGCCCAATCAGAGGGCGACTTTACCTTTCCTTAGACTTCACCACATTTTGCTCTCTTATTAAAAATTTCAAGAACTTTGGCTGTGGAGGGAATTCATATAAAGAAAAACAGAAAAATTCTGCCTTATTGGGAAGTTTCCAAGATGTGATCCATCTTAGGGAGGAGAATATTTTCTGTTAGATGGGACTAAATTTAAATTCTGTTTTCCCACCTAGTACCTGATTACTCTAGGACAGTGGTCTGCAAACTGTGGCTTGTGAGCCATATGCGGCTCTTTGGCCCCTTGAGTGTGGCTCTTCGTCAAAATACCACAGCCTGGCGAGTCTATTTTGAAAAAGTGACAGTTATAAGAAGTTTAAGTTTAAAAAATGTGGTTCTCAAAAGAAATTTCAATCGTTGTACTGTTGATATTGGGCTCTAGGGCAAGTCTTTCATCCTTTTCAAGTTGTCAAACTGGAATAATAATCTACTTCCTTCAAAGAATTTAAGAGGATAATACATAGAAAGCACATAATGCCAGACCTGACATATCACAACTGCATAGGAAATACTGTCCTATAGCTGTTTTTTAGACAGTAGCAAGAGTGTACATCATTGAAGAAACAAAATCTGGGAGGAGAAGAAATAAGAGTTATTTTAAGTGAAATTTATACCTCAGCAGCATATAGGCTAAGAACTGTGAATGACCTTTGATGAAGTAAGTGCTCTGTCTGAAGATGTTGAGCTGATTGTGGTAGGAAAAATAGAAACTCTCCAATTCTCCTTAAGTTTTTGCGTAAGCTACTCCCTGCCTATTTCTAATTAAGCTCTGTGTAAATACATCTCTTGCCATAAGACCAAAGCCATAAGACTTGTATTAAATTTAATATAAGGCAAATATAAAATAGAAGCATGATGTTTTATATCCAGCTCATTTACCTTTTAACTAAAGACATCTATCTCCCTTCTTCCCTCTTTCCTTCCCTTCTTTCCTTCTTTCTTTCCTCCTCTTCCCATAAATTTCCAATATCTAGGTCTTATGTATCTTATGCATGTGTCAACTCTTATATTATCTCTGTGATACATATAATTCTTTTAGTTGACTATTTGGGAAGAGAATCCACTTTTCCATTCAAATCTATTGCCTTTGTAATTAATTGTTCACAGTTTTGAATCTTTGAATTTGAGTCTGAATAGCATTTACTTGTCTTTCAGTTTCCCTTTAGAATTCAGGTACAAAAACTTAACACATTTACTCTAAATGTTCTAACAACTACCTCAATTGTGCATCAGAATGCACTCTTTCTCTGCTCTTGAAACCTGCAGCTGTGCTGTGATCTCGACTAGACTTGACCCTTGATACAGAAAACAAAACTCACCAGTGCAGGTGGGGTAGCTTCTTGCAGTTCGTTCACAAATCTCTCTGGTCGGGCTTTCATTTGTTCATAGCAGTTTTCATCCATTTGTTCTTGGGAGTTGAAAGATTTATGATTGACAATGGAAAAGCAAAATATATTGGCACAAATAAAGAGACATGACCCAAGCAACATTTAGCTGTAAATATGAAACTTCAAAGAACCATTTAACTTATCTTTGTCATGAAAACGCAGAGATAAGAAAGCACAATCTGCTCTCTGCAGGTTAGGAAAGAAGTCTTTTGCCCAATAGCATTAACAATTAGACAAAGGGAGGTCTCTTGGAATAAGGACTAGATCATAGCTATTTAAAAAATATCATTGTAGGCCATGGCAGTTTCAAACTACCATTTAGATGTTGTAGAGATCCCATGAGTTAAGTTTTTGCCTGTTTTACACTATTTAAGTGTAATTGCAAATGATGTATGGTGGAATAACGTATAGTGCACCTACATTGATGATTACAATCAGGTAATTATTTCTGTGAGTAAAATATTTTACTTAGCGGCATTCTGAACCTTGCGTCATTTTTTAAAAAAGGATTTAGAGTATGGTTTTTATTCCATAAATGAATGACAGGACAGTTCAGCTGGGCTATTTTGAAGTTGGGCTGTCTAATGCTGACTGTAAGGACTTGGGAGTTTCTGTGCAGCATCCACCAGCTAGCAGACCTGCACTCATTTCAGCCTGTGGGGACAGGCTTAGTGAATCATTAATGCCTTTCTTAGTCCAGATACGCCTATTTAAAAAGGACAGGAAAGAGAATTAGTGACAGGTAGGGTGGCTAGTGACTTGGCAGAAAAGTGGCCGCTCCAATTTGACCCCATAGAAAAATAAAGATATATTTACTATAGTACAAAGTACCTCCCAATTACCGCTTTCTGAAAGCAACACAAAAGAAAGGGTCCATAGAGTGATTTTTCTCAAAGCGTAGTTCATGGAAAACATGCATTAGGATCACCTGGGAGGTTTGTTAAATAGCAGATTCCTGGACCGCCTACATCAGAACCTGTGGGAAGGACCCCTGTGCTCACTTAGACATGGAAATTGTAGATATGGTAGCTTCAAGCAACTAGAATACATAAACAACAAAGTCCTCAAATCTTATAGGGTAGCACCATGAGTCCACAAGGTGAAACAGGAGGGCAAACTCATTTTACTAGTTCATTGCCGAAAAACACTTCCTGTTACCTCAGATGCAGAGATTAGAGGGCACTTTGCTATAGAAGAAAGACAACAATGATATACATGCTTGAATCCTATAAAACCCTCACATTCCTAACTTTAGGAGAATTCCACACTGTTTTGATATGCAGAGATCCAGATCCATTTAGTCCATTCCTGGACATCTCTGTGTTGAGATTCAGAGACCTGCAGGAATGAAGCCCAATTCTCCGGTCCAGCATTAAGTCAAGTGCCTGCAGGGCAAGCACAGGCTTGAGCACTAGCATCACCCTTTTGGCTCCTCCCATCAGGCTCTGGGATCAGATCACAGTGTTCTGTTTTGAGGAACTTGATGTGTTCTGTTTTGGGTGGTTGGGATGTTTCAGGTAATAAGGGGTGATGGGAATTGATGAGGACCTGTTACATCAGAACAAAAATATATAACCCACTCCATGAAGATTTAGCTCTTCTCTTTCCCCACTTGCCATCAAAACAGCCCCAGGGTCTCTACTTACAAAGAACAAGTTTCCACAAGGGAAAACAGAAAATGTATTTATTATTCCAGATATTTCACTGCTTTTGAATACAGTGCATAAAACACTGTTTCCCTGGTTGGGCCACTTTCTGTTCTAGAAATAGCATTTCACAGAAGTCTTTGTGTGTCAACATTCACGGAAATAGAGTCTTCCTGTATTCTCATTACTGCTGGAGTGAAATGGAGAGCATATAGAAAACAGGATACTAATTTATACCCAGTGCTGCAATGCAATTGATAATGTGTGGCTTTGGGAATACATAACAAATAACATACTAACCATGTTTGAATTTATGTTATCATAGGGTATTTAAATCTGATTGTAACAAAAATAAGCCAACTCAAATTATTTGTGGAATTAAGTGAAGAGGGGGTGTTAATTTCTGGAAAAATAGAACTTACCTGGGACCACATTATCTAAGTTACCATAAATTGGTGTGTCTTCAATATAACACTCATCCTCCCTATAAGGAGAAAAATATTTATTTTATTAGAATCCACTTTAGACAAAATTCTTAACTAATTTCTTAGTTAAATTTGATATTAGGTAAACTATTGTTTTGTTCAGACTTGGCCAACCAATGTAGATACATTTATGTGCGAGTGAGTGAATACAAGTGTGCAAGCATGCCTGCCTCTGTGTGTGTGTGTGTGTGTGTGTGTGTGTGTGTGTGTGTGTGTGTATAAATTTGAAAAGTCATTTTTGGACCTTCTTTCAGGGAATAATGATTGAAAGTATTTATTTAGCACTTACTGTTTGTCAGATGCTACTTGAAGTGTATTTTAGATACTCATTTATTGAATCCTTATACAATCGTACAAAATAGGCATTATAGCATCCCTCTATTAAAGGTAAGGAATGTAAGGCACAGGCAGTCATATATTTGCTGAAGTTCATAAGAATATTCTCATTCATTATAAATGAGAATAAGTGGCAGAGCTGAGATTAGAACCTAACTTACCTGTTTTCTTAACTATACAGTGTATTACCTGGTTGCTTGCTCAGACTTTCACTCTGAAAAATCCCTTAAAATTGTGTTTATTAAGTAAATATTCATTGACAGGAATGTGTAAGAAATAAAAGGCCAAAGAAATATTGGAAGATGCAATAAAATGATTGATTGCCTATTACAACCAGATGCTGTTCTATGTGTTACATACATTGTATCAAAGACCCAGGGAAATTCTGCCAAAATACTATTATCATTCCCCATTTTAGAGAAGCCTGAGATTCAGAAATATTAATGTATTTTCCCTAACTTTATATGCAATGTCAGCAATAACTAGCAATTATGAAAGCTTTTCTTTATGCCAGTGCTCACTGAACCCTCAGATGCATTTTATTTTGATCCCCACTGTGCATATAAGGAATTTGTAGCTCATAGAGGTAAATTGTCCAAAGATATACAGATAGTAGCTGGCAGTGCTGGCATTGTAATGCAAGGCTGGTCCTAAAGCCCTGAATCCTATTTTCTCTTGGTGTTTGATTAAGTTTCCTTATAGTCTCATCTGAGTAATCCTGTTAGGAATACAGCAGACATCCGCCATTGTCACCAGACAGTAAAGATGGCCCTGGTGACCACCTTTCACAATAGAAGTCTGGGAACAAAGACCTGCCAGGCAGTGAGAGTGACATTTCATAAAATAGTAGCAACTGCTTTAACTTTGAGATCACATATCACAGAGAGTTGGAGGGAATTGTATCAAAAGAAAAAAAACAAAACACTCTTATCTCAAGGCTTAACACCTATATTACTCACCATGCTTCTGAAAGAAGATAGAATATATGTAAATAGCAAGTAGATGTCCTTAAAAAATTACAGATTAAATGATACCTGGATAAAAGATTTGAAAAGTCCAGAGGCTAGCATGCATTTTGATTCTCTTATAAAAGGAACTCTTTCATAACCTTTCTTTCCATCAGTAATTCAATGCAACTTAATACTGGGATACGGAGGAGACACTGTTCATGGTTTTTCCCTGACTATGCAGAGACTTTAATAGCAAAAGGTAAAGAATTTTTAATAAGACAATCCATTTATTTTTGTAGCTCACACAAATAGCAGATACAATCTGCAAATGATAAATCATATCCAAAAATATGAATATCATTTCATTTATTATGAATAAAAATAAGATGTGATTTATAATGCAGTGCCCTGAGTCTATAGGCAAGTCTCAGATGATTAATCATTTCAAATGAAAAATTATTCAGAAGCAGTTGCCTAACAAATTTATATATATATATATATATATATATATATATATATGTGTGTGTGTGTATTTTAGTTATCAATTTCAAATAGCTTCAGTCTTTTGCAAATATCTAATAAACTTTAAGCACAAATGTGTGGCAGTGTTTTATGTGGAAGATGAATTATTATTAAAAACAAATTAATAAGTTTATATCCCAGAGGCCAGTGTACCTCTGAGTTTTGGGTCAGATCAGATTATCCATTGCTCAGAAGATGTCTGAAATAGTCCTCTAAAAAATAGACACATTAAATGGCATTCAAAAATTTAAAATCTTATTTTTTACTAGGGCCCAAATTTTCTATTTTTGCATATACCTATTTCTCTAGTTTACATTTTAAAGTTGTTATTTATATTTTATTATTATTTTATTGTTAAGTCCTTTGTAGAAAAATATCTAAATTATCTATGTAAATTAAATAATTAAGTTCAATTTATAAAATATCATTACTTATGCATGGGTGGCCTTGAACATATATTCTGAGTTACAATTTTCTTATTTATAAGTCAAGAATATTAAACTATTTAATCCCTATTGTTCTTTTCAGTTCCAAAATCTATGATAAAAATATAGGGTTCCAATATCAAAGTAAAAATGAAAGATATTTCTACAATACAATATAAAGCCATTTTAAGGGGCTGGAAAGTTGTCAGATTGAGGAAAACGCAAGCTTAGGGGTTTATCAGAAGTTGGTTTTATAACTGTTAACTTAATTTGCTTAATAGATATTTCTTTGAATAGACAAATATATGTTTGGGTTCCATGACTATATAAATGTTGTTTAAAGTCATAGGTAATTTTTGGCTCCCAAAATATGTAATCAGAAATAGGCAAGTTGAGAAGTATATACACAAATGTGTGAATTAACATGCCAACCACTTTTTATAGATAAAATGTGCTTGTATAATCAAATTTTGACTAAATGAAGATATACTACAATAGATTGATTATTAAATCCTTGAAAGATTCTGCATCTTTTCATCTTTGTATGTCTATTGTCTATCAAAGTTCTTAATAATAATGCTATAGCCTTTAATTTTCAGATGGGAATAAAAATAATTAAAAGTCACTTTTAATTGTATTTTAATCCAAATACAATTTCCCTGAACCAAACCTATAAGCAATATTGCATTTGTTACTTTCCCTGGTTCATTGGGAATCACAATGCATAACTCATTTTCTACTTACCCGGAGATGTAGTAATCAGAATCTCTGTATATTTTGCCTGAAAGATATTCAAAGCAGACAAATTAAATAAATGTTTGGACATACATTTGTTAAATCTTCTAGAAAGGGTTATTAGGGGAGGTTAGCCTCAATGTCAGTTAATATCTTTAGTTAAGCCACTTGGCCACCACTGTTTGAAATAAAGATAAACATGGTCTCTGATTTGGGTAAATCGTAGTCCATATTCTCTCTTGGTTTGGAATAGAAACATAGTGCAGCAGAGAAAAGGAATTAATAAAAATTAGAGCAAAATTGAATGAAGTAGAGAACAAAATGACTATATAAAAATTAATGCAATAGAGTTGGTTCTTTGAAAGATTAATAAAATTGACAAACTTTGTCTATACTCACTAAGGAAAAAAGAGAAAATTCTCATATAAACAAAATTCAAAGTGAAAAAGGAGAAGTTACCAAAGGAATTACAGATATACAAAGGGTCATACTAGAATACTATGAAAGACTATATAGCACTAAATTCAACAACCTAGAAAAGAGGGTAAGTTCCTAGAATTATATAACTTTCCTTATCTAAATCATGAAGAAATGAAAAAATCTAAGAAGACTGAACAACAGTGAGGAAATTGAAAAAACCTCCGAAAAATTAAAAGTCTGGGACCAGATGGCTTCAATAGTGAATTCTACCGAATATTCAAAGAAGATTTAATACCTATCCTCCTAAAACTCTTCCAAAAAATTGCTAAAGGGGAAAATACTTCCTAAAGCATTTTATGAGGCTAACATAACCCTGATACAAAAACATGGCAAAGATAATACTATATATATAAAAAAAAACTACCCAGCAATATCTCTGATGAATTCAGATGCAAAACTCCTAAACAAAATACTAGCAAATAGAATACAAAAGTATGTAAAAAAAATATCTATATATATATATATATATATATATATATATATATATATATATATATATATATCACGATTAAGTGGGGTTCATTTCAGAGGCACAAGGATAATTCAACATACAATTCAGTCAATGTAATACACCATGTTAACAAAGGAAAGAATTAAAATCACATAATCATATTAATAGATGCAGAAAATGCATTTGATAAGGTACAACATCCATTTATATTAAAACACTCAATAAAATGGGTATAGAAGGAGAGTATCATTACATAATTAAGATCATCTCTGAGAAACACTCAGCTAAAATCATATGCAATGGTGCCCAGCCAATGTTGCTCAGTAGTTGAGTTTTGTCCCATGAACCAGGAGGTCACAGTTTGATTCCCAGTCAGAGCATATGCCTGGATTGCAGGCTAGATCTCCAGTGGGGGCATGCAGGAGGTGGCCAATTGATGATTCTCTCTCATCAGTAATGCTTCTATCTCTCTCCCTCTCCCTTTCTCTCTCTGAAATCAATAAAAAATATTTTTAAAAAGAAGGAAAAAATAAAATCATACTCAATTGTAAAGAATTGAAAGTTTTCCTCTAAAATCAGAACAAGACAAGAATGTCTACTCTTACCACTCTTAATAAACATAGTTCTGGAAGTTCTAGCCAGAGCAATCAGGCATAAGGAAAAAGTAAAAGGCATTTAAATTGCTAAGGAAGTAGTAAAAGAGTCACTTTTTTTTTTCAGATAACATGATTTTATACATGTAAATCCATAAGGCTCAACAGGAAAACTATTAGCAAAAATAAATAAATACAGAAAAGTTTCAGGATACAAAGTCAATGTATAAAAATTTACTATTTTCCTATATACTAACAATGAAACTTCAGAAAAAGAAATGGAAAAAAATCATTTTGCCATTGCAACAAAATAAATAATGTACATAAGAATAAACTTAACAAAATATGTGAAGAATCTATATACTGAAAACTACAAAGCATGATTAAAAATGATTGAAAAAGACACAATGAAATGCAAAGATAAAAAAACAAAAAAACAAAAACAAACAAAAAAAACCCCAGAACAAATAATTGTCAGATTTGTATGGAACCACAAAAGACTCCAAATAGCCAAAACAATCCAGAGAAAAAAGGATGAAGCCCGAGGTACCAGACTCTCTGACTTCACATTATATCATAGAGATCTGATAATAAAAAACAACATAGTATTGGCAGAAAAACAAGTACACAGACCAATCTAATGGAATTTAGAGCCCAGAAATAAAACCTCATGTTTATGGGAAAATAATTTTTGACAAAGAAGTCCAAAACACACAATGAAGAAAAGAAAGCCTCTTCAATAAATGATGTTGAGAAAATTGGAAAGCCACATGCAAAAGAATGAAAGTAGATTAGAGTTTTTCCCTATGTACAAAAATTAATTGAAAATGGATCAAAGACTTAAATATAAGATCCAAAACAATAAAATATAGAAGAAATATACATAGTAAACTTATGGATCATTGTCATAGAGAATATTTTATGAATTTGACCCCAAAGGGAAGGGAAATAAAGGCAAAAATAAATTCATGGTACTATATCAAACTAAAAAGCTTTGGTACAGCCAGAGACACTGACAACAAAACAAAGAGGCAGCCAACCGAATGGGAGATGATATTTATAAATAACAGCTCAGATAAGGGTTCATTATGTAAAAATATATAAAAAATTCATACAACTCAACACCAAATAAGCAAACAATCCATTAAAAAATGGGCAGAGGACCTGACTAGACATTTTCCCAAGAAGACATACAAATGGTCAATCAAAAAAAAAAAAGTTCAACTTTACTATTAGGGAAATGCAAATCAAAACTACAGTGAAACATTTGGGAGATGGACTCAGTGAACACCAAAGCCTCACTGAAACAAGGCCTGCACCATAAGTGTGTCTGCAGCGTAGCAGTTCTTTTATAGACACAGCAGGTCCTCACAGCCAATTGGCCTTCAGGTCAATTCCCCCCAGTGTACCAACAGCAATCAAGGCTCAATTACACCAAGAATTTGCACTCAGCCCACGAAGGGGTGTACCAAGAGTGACCACCCCAGGTGACTAGGGAAGCTGAACTACTGGCCCCTATAGGTCACTGACCACACAAAGCCACTCCATAAACACAGGGAGGCAGCCAAAAGGAGGAGGCACAGAACCATGTCACGAATGGGAGAGATGGAGAAAAGTAAACTACTAGATGACACAGAGTTCAGAACCACATTTATAAGGTTACTCAAGAATCTTCTAAAAACTGTTGAGAAACTTGATGAGACCTCCAAGAAGCTTAGTGAGACCTTCAAGGATCTTAATGAGAATGCCAAAAAAATGGAAAAGGACTAGTCAGAAATTAAGCATACATTGTATGAAATAAAAAATGTACAGAAACTCAACTGTAGATCAACATACCCCAAAAGTCAAACCAAAGATCTGGAATATGAGGGGGAAAAAACACCCAACCAGAAAAACAAAAATAAAAAAGAATCCAAAAATATGAAGATAGTGTAAGGAGCCTCTGAGACGACTTTAAGCGTACCAACATCCAGGTTTTTGGGGTGCCAGAAGAAGAGAGAAAGCAGGATATTGAATGACTATTGGAAGAAATAATGACAGAAAACTTTCCCTACCTGGTGAAAGAAATAGACTTATAAGTTCAGGAAGTGCACAGAACCCCAAACAAGAAGAATCCAAAGAAGACCTTTCCAAGACACATCATAATTAAAATGCCAAGGGCAAAAGACAAAAAGAGAATCTTACAAGCAGCAAAAGAAAAACAGCTAGCTACCTACAAGAGAGTACCCATACAACTATGCAGACCAGAAGGGAGTGGCAAGAAATATTCAGTGATGAACAGCAAGAACCTATAACCAAGATTACTCTACCCAGCAAAGCTATCATTTAGAATTGAAGGTCAGATAAAGAGCTTCACAGACAAGAAAAAGCTAAAGGAGTTCATTACCACCAAACCAGGATTACATGAAATGCTGAAGGGTTTTCTTTAAGAAGAGGAAGAAGAAAAAGGTAAAAATTATGGATAACAAAAATACATCAAATACATACCTACCAACAAGTGAATCTAAAAATCAAGTGAATAAAAAATCTGAAGAACAAAATGGACTGGTGAATATAATAGAATTAGGGACATCGAAAGGGAGTGGCCTGACAATTCTCAGGGGAAGGGGGTCTGAGGGGTGTGGGAAGAGATTGGACAAAAATCTTACGCCTATGGATGAATATAGTGGTGGGGATAAGGGCATGGGGTAGGGTGGGAAATCAGGTAGAGGGAGCTATGGGAGGGAAAAAAAAGAGGAACACCTGTAATAATCTGAACAATAAAGATTTATTATAAAAACAAAACAAAACAAAACATAAAACTACAGTGAAATACCACCTTTCAACTTAGAATGGCTACTATCAACAAGATAGGTAAAAATAAGTATTGGAGAGGTTGTGGAGAAAAAGGAACCCTCCTTCACAGTATGGCTGTTCCTCAAAAAAATTAGGAATAAAGTTACCATGTGACCTAGCAGTCCCTCTTCTGGGTATCTATCTAAAAAAACTCAAAAACATTTATTTGAAGATACATGCACCCCAATACTCATTGCATCATTGTTCATGGTGGCCAAGATATGGAGACAGACAAAGTGTTTTTATATAGAGGACTGAATAAAGAGATGTGGTACATATATACCATGGAATACTACTCAGCTATAAGAAAATATGACATATTGCCATTTGCAACAACATGGATGGCCCTTGAAAATATTATAATAAGTGAAATAAGCCAATCAGAAAAAAGCTAAGAAGCATGTGGGATACAAAACTCATAGACATAGACAATGAGAGGTAATTGATAAGAAAGTATTGTGTGTGTGTGGGGGGGGAAGTAGTAAAGGGTGCCAAATATGTGGTGATGTAAGATGATTTGATTTTGGGTGGTGGGTACAGAATGCAATATACAAAACATGTGTCATATAAATGTACACTTAAAACCTATGTGAACTCATTAACCAACGTCACCCCAATAAATTTAACGAAAAACACACTCAGTAAAATGGCTTTTAGAAGAAACAGTATGCTGATCAGAGATCTGAT